CAGTGATACATAAACCTGTAACAGTGGTTGGCCTACACCAGTGATACATAAACCTGTAACAGTGGTTGGACCTACACCAGTGATACATAAACCTGTAACAGTGGTTGGCCTACACCAGTGATACATAAACCTGTAATAGTGGTTGGCCTACACCAGTGATACATAAACCTGTAACAGTGGTTGGCCTACACCAGTGATACATAAACCTGTAACAGTGGTTGGCCTACACCAGTGATACATAAACCTGTAACAGTGGTTGGCCTACACCAGTGATACATAAACCTGTAACAGTGGTTGGCCTACACCAGTGATACATAAACCTGCAACAGTGGTTGGCCTACACCAGTGATACATAAACCTGTAACAGTGGTTGGCCTACACCAGTGATACATAAACCTGTAACAGTGGTTGACCTACACCAGTGATACATAAACCTGTAACTGGTTGGCCTACACCAGTGATACATAAACCTGTAACAGTGGTTGACCTACACCAGTGATACACAGACCTACACTAGTGATACATAGACGCTGTAGCGTCTTCAGAAACAATGATACAATTCCTAAACATATATTTTTAATATTTTATATATTTGCTAATATTATTTTCGTTAATAGCTAGGGCGAAAATATCCTTTACAGCAATATTGTTTGATATACTTAGCTATATTAATTTGTCGGATGTATCACATAAATTACTCTGTGCTGACAGATCCGAGAGTTTTGATTTTGGCTGCCCATGCTGCTTAATTGTTTGCTTGCCTTCTAGGAGGCGAGGCCAGAGGTGAGTGATCTGGCACCTGCGGCCGCTGCTTCTCTCTCCTTCCCTGGCTGGACATCGCCGAGGCATCACCTCACTTCTTCGCTCTGGGAGAACACTGTTCTCTGATTTTGTCATGTACTCAGTTTTTTTTTCTGGTAGAGTATGTATACGTTGGTGGGCCGGAACATACATATTTGTACTCTGTGCGAGACTCTTCACACAGCACTGTTTAGAATTAGTCATTTTTGACGTTTTCTGAGGCTGTCGTGAGACACTATGCTTGAGGTCCTGAGTCTAACTTTGTACCTTCAGGTCCTGAGTTTAACTTTGTACCTTCAGGTCCTGAGTTTAACTTTGTACCTTCAGGTCCTGAGTCTAACTTTGTACCTTCAGGTCCTGAGTTTAACTTTGTACCTTCAGGTCCTGAGTCTAACTTTGTACCTTCAGGTCCTGAGTCTAACTTTGTACCTTCAGGTCCTGAGTCTAACTTTGTACCTACAGCTCCTGAGTCTAACTTTGTACCTTCAGGTCCTGAGTCTAACTTTGTACTTTCAGCTCCTGAGTCTAACTTTGTACTTTCAGCTCCTGAGTCTAACTTTGTACCTTCAGCTCCTGAGTCTAACTTTGTACCTTCAGGTCCTGAGTCTAACTTTGTACTTTCAGCTCCTGAGTCTAACTGTACCTTCAGCTCCTGAGTCTAACTGTACCTTCAGCTCCTGAGTCTAACTGTACCTTCAGCTCCTGAGTCTAACTGTACCTTCAGCTCCTGAGTCTAACTGTACCTTCAGCTCCTGAGTCTAACTTTGTACCTTCAGGTCCTGAGTCTAACTTTGTACTTTCAGCTCCTGAGTCTAACTGTACCTTCAGCTCCTAAGTCTAACTGTACTTTCAGCTCCTGAGTCTAACTGTACCTTCAGCTCCTGAGTCTAACTGTACCTTCAGCTCCTGAGTCTAACTTTGTACCTTCAGGTCCTGAGTCTAACTTTGTACTTTCAGCTCTGAGTCTAACTGTACCTTCAGCTCCTAAGTCTAACTGTACTTTCAGCTCCTGAGTCTAACTGTACCTTCAGCTCCTGAGTCTAACTGTACCTTCAGCTCCTGAGTCTAACTTTGTACCTTCAGCTCCTGAGTCTAACTTTGTACCTTCAGGTCCTGAGTCTAACTTTGTACTTTCAGCTCCTGAGTCTAACTGTACCTTCAGCTCCTAAGTCTAACTGTACTTTCAGCTCCTGAGTCTAACTGTACCTTCAGCTCCTGAGTCTAACTGTACCTTCAGCTCCTGAGTCTAACTGTACTTTCAGCTCCTGAGTCTAACTGTACCTTCAGCTCCTGAGTCTAACTGTACCTTCAGCTCCTGAGTCTAACTCTACAAATAAATTTACCTGACCTCTCGTATATCTCCTTTTATTACAACTACTTTTCACATATTTAAATTTCTTACCGGTTTTAACTTTTAAATTTAAATAATTATCACACGGACCCCAATGTAAATAAGTCACTTTGACTTTCCTGGGTAATCTACACATATGCTGCTATGTATGATAATATATGTAACTGTATTTACGTGTATCTGTACCCGAATAAACTTACTTTGTCGTAGTCGGGGTTTTGGAAGTTGTTGATCTCAGATTCAGTAATTTAGGGGTTTGTCTCCAATTAGGTTCGTTTTTGTGTCTCGTTGTCTGACGTTGTGCTGCTCACGGATGCTTTGTGCATATTGATGTTAAGCTAAAATAGTCACCTGACTGTTCAAACAATCTATTCTGGCTCCATTTGTTTTGTCTAGAAGTCAGTTTATTTAGGGACTTGTTTCGTCAGCCATGTTTTAAGTTGAACTTTGTCTAGCTCACTACACACATACATTACTTACTCCAGTACAATAACTTAAAAGATGGTACAGGTTTCATTTAGGAGTACTTAAAGCTCCAGCTGTAGGTCATCATATGACTTAAGACCCACGTCAGGAAACACTGTTTCCTGACAAACATTTTATCTGCCAGTTAAGAGTATAATATTTTTTGTAAGGTGATGAGAGAACAGTTTAAATGAAATGTACAGAAATATTTAACACTCGTAATTATAAGTTCCTGATGCTAGGCACCTAGGAGTGTGTAGCAACTAGTTCAAGAATGACTTTAGACAACACTTTTTTTGTTACGTTAAAGTTATCAAACTTCTATTAGTTAGTGCTTATTTTCTTCACTGAAGTTCCATCTTAAAAACCCAGTTATTCAAAAGGGCTATAAAAAATCAATAAGCTATATGATAACTGGTCTAGAATCAGCACTGGCAAACTGTTCCGAAGCCAGAAACAGGCTACCAGAAGAGTATCAATAGGTTAACCTAGTATTCTCAAGTAGATGTCTATGATAATAGACGTCACGCTTGTAGGCTTACACAAGGGAGACATCTGTTATGGTATTAAAAGGATTCTGGATAAAGATAAACAGATGCTCTGTGGTAATTTGACGACAGTAATGTTGGGTCCACCATCCCGGGGCCCGTCCTCGTTCGTGTCTACGTTTAAACTAGCGTGCCCCGAGGCGATGTCATAGTTATGATTTGCGCATGCCTCACGCATTCCTAACGAATGCTGTGAATCATAGCTATGACATCACATGGGTCAACCGTCTGTAACTCCTGAAGAGTAACTTGTGAGGCAACTAGTCAATAGTCCTTATTTGCCCAGCGGGTCGCTACTGCTGACACGGAAACCTACACCAGTGATACATAGACCTACACCAGTGACACAGACCTACACCAGTGATACATAGACCTACACCAGTGCCACAGACCTACACCAGTGGCACACAGACCTACACCAGTGACACATAGACCTACACCAGTGACACAGACCTACACCAGTGACACAAACCTACACCAGTGATACATAGACCTACACCAGTGACACATAGACCTACACCATTGATACATAGACCTACACCAGTGATACATAGGCCTACACCAGTGACACAGACCTACACCATTGATACATAGACCTACACCAGTGACACATAGACCTACACCAGTGACACAGACCTACACCAGTGATACATAGACCTACACCAGTGCCACAGACCTACACCAGTGATACATAGACCTACACCAGTGACACAGACCTACACCATTGATACATAGACCTACACCAGTGACACATAGACCTACACCAGTGATACATAGGCCTACACCAGTGACACATAGACCTACACCAGTGATACATAGACCTACACCAGTGCCACAGACCTACACCAGTGGCACACAGACCTACACCAGTGACACATAGACCTACACCAGTGACACAGACCTACACCAGTGACACAAACCTACACCAGTGATACATAGACCTACACCAGTGACACATAGACCTACACCATTGATACATAGACCTACACCAGTGATACATAGGCCTACACCAGTGACACAGACCTACACAATTGATACATAGACCTACACCAGTGACACATAGACCTACACCAGTGATACATAGGCCTACACCAGTGACACATAGACCTACACCAGTGATACATAGACCTACACCAGTGACACATAGACCTACACCATTGATACATAGACCTACACCAGTGATACATAGGCCTACACCAGTGACACATAGACCTACACCAGTGATACATAGACCTACACAATTGATACATAGATCTACAACAGTGATACATAGACCTACACCAGTGACACATAGACCTACACCATGATACATGCCTACACAGTGATACATAGGCCTACACCAGTGATACATAGACCTACACAGTGATACATAACTACACTAGTGACAATAGACCTACACCATTGATACATAGCATACACCAGTGACACATAGTACCTACACCATGATACATGACCTACACCAGTGATACATAGGCCTACACCAGTGATACATAGGCCTACACTAGTGAGATATACACCAGTGATACATTTTACCTACAACCAACACTCAAATAAATGAACACAATCGGAAAAGAAAACCTATAAAAATAAGAAAATGTACTACAATTATGTAATACAAGTAGAGGGAGAACTAAAACAATAACAAAAAAAAAAGGTACGTACATATTCACTTTTCAAAGGTCCGTAAGGCGATATATGTAGCTCCACACAGAGGATTACCAAGCAAAAATTCTTGCAGAAGCAGAGAGGCAAAGACCAGTGCTTGAGCAACGTGGGCGCATGTGTGACGGTAGCTGCATGCTGAGCCGAGGTCCGCCACACACCAGGTCCTCAGTAGCGCGCTCTCTATACCACGAGTGTTGCTTTCCTTGTTCTCATGGCTTCCCTCAGCCCCGTTCGGGCCATGACCAGGAATTAAAACTTAAACACAACTTGGAAGAACCCTCCCTCGAAACAATAATATTTAATGGTAAATGTGTTTATAGAGTTCGTTTACTCGTACCACTGATAAATAGTTTGAAGAGTGCCTATACTATCGATACAAGTAAATTAATCTGATATACTGATTTGGTGTGATAAAAGAAGAAAATAATGTAGAGTTAGAGGACATGAGTGGTTTATGTGTAGATGTGTTTGGTCGAAATGTGTGATACTAAATTGTGGTTTTTGGTAATCCAAAAAAAAAACGTCAACTTTTGGAAAAGAAGCGCAGCTGAAATTTGCAACCTGAAGTGCTTGTTAAAATGGAAGACGGGTCACAGTGACGGTCACTGCTAAACAGTGATGGTCACTGCTAAACAGTGATGGTCACTGCTAAACTGGTGGTCAGTGCTAAACAGTGATGGTCACTGCTAAATAATGGTGGTCACTGTTAAACAGTGATGGTCACTGCTAAATAGTGGTGGTCAGTGCTAAACAGTGATGGTCACTGCTAAACTGGTGGTCAGTGCTAAACAGTGATGGTCACTGCTAAATAATGGTGGTCACTGTTAAACAGTGATGGTCACTGCTAAATAGTGGTGGTCACTGCTAAACAGTGATGGTCACTGATAAATAGTGATGGTCACTGCTTGACAGCGATGGTCACTGCTAAATAGTGCTGGTCACTGCTAAATTGCTGATCACTATCATACGGTGCTGATCATTGCTAAACAGTGCGGGTCACTGCTATACAGTTATAGCCACTGTAACACAGTGCTGGTCACTGCTATACATTGGTAGCCACTGCAACACAGTGCTGGTCACTATCATACAGTACTGTTCAGTGCCATACCTAGCTGGTCACTATCATATAGTACGGGTCACTGCTAAAGTGTTGGTCACTATCATACACTGCTGATCACTGCCACAGTGCTAGTAACTGCAATAGTGCTAGTTTCTGCTACATAGTACTGGTCACTACCAGTGCTGATCACTGCCACAGTGCTGGTCACTGCCACACAGTACTGATCACTGCCACACAGTACTGGTCTCTGCCAGTGCTGGTCACTGCCATACACTACGGTTCACTGCTTATTGCTGCTTTACGGTGCTGGTCACTACACTGCTGGTCACTGCTTTATATTACTGTTCACTACTTAAAGTGCTGATCACTGCCATACAGTACTGGTCACTGCCACACATTACTGGTCACTGCCACAGTGCTGGTCACTGCATACAGTACTGGTCACCGCTTTACAGTACTGGTCACTGCTTTACACTTCTGGTCATTGCTTTAGTGCTGGTCACTACCACAGTGCCGGTCATTGCCATACAGTGCTAATCACTGCTACAGTGCTGGTCTGTGTTACACATTGCTGGTCACTGCCACAGTGCTAGTAACCGCAATAGTGCTAGTCACTGGCACAGTGCTAGTAACTGCAACGGTGCTGGTCACTTCCACACTTCTGGTCATGGTTGGTCACTGTTAGTGCTGGTCACTGCCACACAGCGCTGGTCACCGTTATAGTGCTGGTCACTGCCACATAGCGCTGATCTGTGAAACACAGTGCTGGATACTGCCATAGTGCTGGTCACTGCCACACAGTGCTGGCCACAATGTTGATCGCTGCTGATAACGGTACTACTCACTGCCGCAGTGCTAGCGACAGTGTTGATCACTTCTGATAACGTTGCTGGTCACAGTGTTGGTCACTGCCATACAGTGCTGGTCACAGTGTTGGTCTCTGCCACACAGTGCTGGTCACAGCCACACAGTGCTGGCCACAGTATTGTCACTGCTACAAATTGCTGGTCACAGTGTTCGTCACTGTCACAGTGCTAGCCCCAGTGTTGGTCAGTGCTGATAACGGTACTGCCACACAGTGCTGGCCACAGTGTTGGTCACTGCCACACAGTGCTAGCCCCAGTGTTGGTCAGTGCTGATAACGGTACTGCCACACAGTGCTGGCCACAGTGTTGGTCACTGCCACACAGTGCTGGCCACAGTGCTGGTCACTGCCACACAGTGCTGGCCACAGTGTTGGGCACTGCCACACAGTGCTGGCCACAGTGTTCGTCACTGCCACATTGCTGGCCAGTGTTGGTCACTGCCATACAGTGCCACACAGTGACGGTCACTGCCACACAGTCTAAGCAACATAAATTACTCTCCTATAACAATAACTTCAACTTTTATCAAACATTTACTTCACCTAACAGCTTTTATTGACTACATTTCAATGCCGATTTATAGCTCCGTCCGTTGTAAAGCTCCGTCCGTAGTGAGGCTCCGTCCGTAGTAAGGCTCCGTCCGTAGTGAATCTCCGTCCGTAGTGAAGCTCCGTCCGTAGTGAGGCTCCGTCCGTAGTGAATCTCCGTCCGTAGTGAAGCTCCGTCCGCAGTGAAGCTCCGTCCGTAGTAAAGCTCCGTCCTTAGCAAAGCTTCACATTATGCTCCATCTTTCAAGTCTGTTACTTTCATTCCTCCCAAGTGCTTAAATGTTCCACACATTTCTCTACGTTTTATCATGCATTTTAGTTTATTTTCCACTCTGTGTGTGTGTTTATATCATGCTGTACGTGGAGCGCAATCCTCCTCCTCCTCCTCTTCCTCGTATCAGACAGTAATGAAGGTAAGTGCGGCAGAGAGTGCCTCATCGTTCATCCCATGTTGAAAAATGACTGAAGCATTGCAAGGTTGGACAGCAGCGGTGAGAATCATTGCAACTGTGTTGGTTGTATCATTGCAACTGTGTTGGTTGTATGCCACGGCTCTGGCAGGATGATAACATCCTTGTCAGTCATCGCAAGTAAAAGATAAACAGTCATATTGAAATTAATGTGTTGTATTTAATATCGTCTCGCATTAGGCCAGGGAATAATGACGGTGTGATGGAACGTCCGACTTTGACACGCTCGGCAGTCTGGAGTAGTGATGATGAGAGGTGGCAGTATTTGATCGCTTGGTAATTAGGATTTTGAGGTGTTCTAAACCCTTGTCATTTGCCCGATCGCTTGTAATTAGGTTTTTGAGGTGTTCTAAACCTTTGTCCCTTGCCCGATCGCCTGTTATTAGGATTTTGAGTGTTCTAAACCCTTGTCATTTGCCCGATCGCTTGTAATTAGGTTTTTGAGGTGTTCTAAACCTTTGTCCCTTGCCCGATCGCCTGTTATTAGGATTTTGAGGTGTTCTAAACCCTTGTCATTTGCCCGATCGCTTGTAATTAGGATTTTGAGGTGTTCTAAACCCTTGCCTCTACTGTTTTTCCTTATACCTGTTGACTGCTCTGTTTACCCTAGTAGTAAACAGGTACGTACCTGGATGTTAACCGGTTGTTGGTGGTGGGATCCCGGGAAAAAGAGGAAATAATCCAGACTGTTTGCCTTACCTGGGTTATGCTGGGTTACTAATCCTCCGGCTTGATAAATTGATAAACCGAAAGAAATAATCTTTGTTCTTCTTCCTTCATTCTTCTTCTTCTTTCTTATTCTCTTCCATAAGGAAATCTGTGTTTTCCGAGAAGAAGAAAGGAGGCTGTCTTGTGCCTCAGAGTGTAATGCAAGAGTGAATTTGAAGCGTAAGTAAAGAAAGCGATTTCCCAATAGCACATCCCCAGAGTTCCCAGAGTGCATTCCAAGACTGAATGCCAGGAACAGAGGAAATTCCCATTTTTGGATCATCAGAGTGAATCCCAGGAGTGAAATCGAACGAATTTCCCAGTGCATTCCTCAAGAGTGAAACCTCAGTATGTATTCCGCCTGCGAGTTCCAAGAGTGAATTTGTCAATCCCATAGAGAGTGCATACTAAGAGTACAATCCCAAAAGTTAATCCCGAAAAAAAATTATTCCCGAAAGAGTTAATTCTTTCTCGGCAAATTCCCGAGCGACCTGACTTAAACAAACCACAGCAAATACGAAGCAGCAAGGCAAACTAGGGAGTAAAACAAGTGGGTGTACCTGACCAAGACGGACATGAATAACAAGGATGTTATGAGATAAATGATAGTGGACACGCCACGCCAGTGGACCACGCCAACCGGTAGGACACAGGCCAAGTCGCCAGGACAATATCTCTGGTGTGAATAGCTGATGTCGGCTGCGTTACCTGGGTGCTTTACTTGGTGTAATTATCCTGCTTTACGACAGATGCGTTATCCTTAGAAATAGCCCTTATGCTGCTACAGCACAGTCTGAAATACTTTGATGCAGAGCAGAGTAAGAAAAGGATCGAACATGCAACTGACCCATAATACCGTGGCTGTAACACTGCACAACTGACCCATAATACCGTGGCTGTAACACTGCACAACTGACCCATAATACCGTGGCTGTAACACTGCACAACTGACCCATAATACCGTGGCTGTAACACTGCACAATTGACCCATAATACCGTGGCTGTAACACTGCACAACTGACCCATAATACCGTGGCTTGTATAACACTGCAAACTGACCCATAAATTACCGTGGCTGTAACAATGCACAAACTGACCCATAATACCGTGGCGTGTAACACTGCACAACTGACCATATACCGAGGCGTAACATTGCACGGACTGACCACAATACCGTGGCTGCAACTTGACACAACTGATCACAATACGTGGCTGTAACACTGCACAACTGACCCACATTACCGTGGCTTGTTAACACTCCCAACTGACCCACAATATCCGTGGCTGTAACACTGCACAAATGACCCCAATACCGTGGCTGCTGTAACACTGCTACAACTGAACCACAATACCGTGGCTGTAACACTGCACAAACTGACTACATACCGGGCTGTAACACTGCACAACTGACCACAATACCGTGCTGTAACACTGCACAACTGACTCACAATACCGTGGCGTAACACTGCACAATGACCCACATACCGTGCTGTACAATGCACAACTGACACAATACGTGGCTTGGAATACACTACACAACTGAAAACATATCACCGTGGCTGGACACTGCACCAAGTCTGACCCACAATACCGTGAGCTGTAACATGCACCAATTGACCCCAATACTCTGGCTGTAACGCTGCACAATGACC